AGGTGAGTCTTAGCTAGCACCAAGAAAGTAATGCACTTTGATTTTGGTACACAAAATCCCCTGCTCTCTAATATAGTAGGACCAATATCATTGCACTAAAACACAAAACACATTTTCCTGCAGCTTTTCTATTTGTGTCATTTCTTTCTTATTTTTTCCTAAGCGCTTTAGGTCTGTCTTCATCAGCTTGAGTTTGCCAAATAACCCGCTATTTTCAGACTCGAGATACTATCCCGAAGCTCAAAATTGCGTTTTCACCCGACTGATACGCTCATCACAAACTATGTATGTAAGTATATCAATCTACATGTACATGTACAAAAATAAATGGTGAAGATAAATTTGGGGGAAAGATATATATCGCCTGCACTTCACGTCAAAAAATTGTCCATCCTAACAAAAGTTGATGTAGAATACATTCCTATAACTGCTGGCTACTGGTAGATATATAATGCTTCTTAAATAATAATAAATGTTGTAAGAACTACCTTTGGTCACAAATAGCTAGAAAAAAAGGAGGTAAAAGTCTGAGTACTTTACACACTTCTTAAAGGTAATTGCTTATATCAGAATAATCTGTATTCATCTATCTGAATATACAAACTGTATCAATATGTACTCAAATCTACATCAATACATTGAAAATATAAACTGATACATGTATACAAAATTACGTCTGAGATTTAGAATACATTCACATAATAAATGGACAGTATTCTGCGACGGAGAGGGTATATGAATTCAGAAAGAAACAGATTAAAAATGAGATAAAGAAAGAATGAGATCTGAATAATGATCAACAATACCAACTCTGACTTCCAAACTACTATATACAACAAACTTCTGAATATGGTTTCCCTTATTACAAATACCATATATCTAAAAATATTTACATCTTCTATTTATTGTCTACTCTATGACATATCTTTCAATGTACAAAAATATTGAATACACTTTGCAATCGCCAATTATACCATCCTATCTATAGCATGTTGAATACCAGACAAATATGAAAAGTATTGAATATAATTTTTTTAAATAAAGATGAATTTTGAATACTGAATATTGATGCCATGAAGAGACGAAACACAAAAATGATAAGATTAAATATAAGAAGAACAAGATAAGAACATAACTGTGTGCTACTATTGTACCACATGTTTTCATTAAAGACAGATTTGTTTAATAATATGTTCATGTTAATGACTCTGGCCAAAAGCGGTTCTAGGAGGGGGACTGGAGTGCTCACGTCCCTACAGCAAATTATCCTGACTTTAAATGTAGTTAAGCAAGACACATGTAGAAAATTAATGCAAGAAACCCCAGAGCGCCACTCCCTCCAATAAACTGTTTGATGCTTTGGTAGGCTCACTGACCAAACAGTTGTTGTGAACTTTAAATTTTGCTTCATTAGAGCAAACTAGACCAAACTAATATTGTTCTATAAACAATGTCTCTGATACAAGATAGATCTATGATCTAGGCTAGTAGGCTTCACAATACAACCCTAAGTTTAAACTCAAGTTTGGAACAGTAGCTAGCACCATGGCAAGAGGTGCACATTAAGACACTATGGTGTTACAAATTTAAACTGAATGTAAAAAAAAAAAAAAATTAGCAAATAGTTTGGTAAAACTGAAGTGTTAAAAAAATAATTAGCACACTATTTTCAAGAAGAAGCATAAGTTACTCTGATGTTTAAAGGTGAAATTCAAAGAAAATCACAAATATGTCAACTAATGTATCACTAGTAACTGGTAAGCTAACAGATGGCCATCGTACAAGTTTGAGGTCAGCTACATATCGGGTGATTTATAAAAATAAAAATACAACCACCTCCATAGCAGCTGGGATATACGAGAGATTCGCCAGAAAAATAACGATGTTTTAATGACGTCACAACAGGGACCAATACTGCCCAAGCAGACGACATCCCATAAAGAATGAACATAATTGCAAAGCTATCATTTGTCAAATTATAATGAGTTTAGTGTATATAAATGTACTGGCACGTCAAACCGATCAAAAGGGGACATGACCCGATTCTGATAACTAAAATCTTTTACTTGTAAATACACAGGATAGGGGTTAATTAACAATCAAAGAAACCAGACTTTCAAATTGAAAAGCCCCCGGATTGATATTAAGGACGGCATTTGTTCCCTCTTAAAACGCCGAACATACCGCGGTGTCTGCAGCTGAATATACAATGGCGTCTTATTTTGTTTACAAGCGACAGATTCCTTTATTTTTGTATCGCTGCATTTGTCATCAAAATAAAAACATGCGCGGGGTTTAGAGTGAGGCAATAGATTATACATTTAGCCTGACGGTAGTGAAGTAAGAGAAAGAACTCAAGAGAAGATGAAAACACAGGCACTGAAAATGTGTGAGATGTCATGGGACATCGTCTGCTTGTGCAAATCATGTCCCTGTTGTGATCTCACACATCTCAGCAGCGTTCGGAGAGCTATTCAGGTGCTATGCCGGGGCTGTATTTAGGCGTTTTGTAATTTATAATAATCATTACTTCGAATGTTTCCAAGCATTGAATTTTTATAACCTTGTCGAATCAAAGTTTCAACTTTGCAATAATGAAAATAAAGCTAGATTTAAAATCAATGAATATCTACTTTAAAAAAAAAAAAAAAAGCTGCACACTATTCCAAAGCACCAAAAGATAAGAGGCAAGATTGAATTGTTCTCAATGACAAGGAAATCCTTCAGAGGCAGTGGATTTACTATCAAGTCTGATTCAAAATGATTTCATGCTTTTCTTTAAAAAATACAACAGAATGAAAATTATGACGTAAAAACTAGTAATCAACTTTGAAATAGTGCCGATTCTGCTGGTTACAAGCGCATAGAGAAGTGATCCCTGTGTCAGCTTGAAAATGACATGATTATATAAACCGATTCAATCATTATTTCTTTTCATGCAATCTTTTTGCATGTATATGTATTTTTCTTGAGACAAGTAACAACGAAACAGTAAAATGAATTAGAAATGTGAATGTTCGCGAAATACATATAAGATATTGAAACCTTATGAATAATATCACAGACAGGCCTCCATTTCATCTGATGTGTATTAAATCTAACGCTGTTACAAACTTTCTTTGTATGATCATTAGATAAATGTGATTATTACCCGTATCAGACATCTGAGCTGGTCATTTACAAAACCGTATTGCCCTAGTTTTCACTAGCAGTGGGAACGGAGGGGTATATTCTTTGTATTTTCCTTGGTCTCCCTGCGCATATTGACTTTGCGTGTAGAGACGAGTGAAAATATACCTTGGTATTTTCCACGGTCTCGCATTTTCATTGCGCATCTATTAATATTATGCGTACGAGAACCTGCGCACTTTGCGCGCACTGTATTGTGACGTAATAATCAAACCAAATACACACTGTTTGTAGTGTATCAAAAATTTTGTCAAGCACTGGATGCAAAGTGTTGGTTTGACAAAGTTTGTTCAGTTCTTGAGATTGTCATGGTGGATGTCTGTATTTGCTCTAGATGTCTGATTTGGATAACAATAAAAATATTGACTGGCTTTACTTTCGGGGGATATCAGAAATATTGACCGCGCTAAGACCATATTGCCCTCGTCTTTCGACTCGGGGCAATATGATCTGAGCTTGGTCAATATTTCTGATATACCCCTCAAGGCCAGTCAATATTATATAAATATATACTTTCTGATAAAATTGAGACAATATTATTGCCACTGAGTTTGGCAATGAAGAACTTTTTCAATGATAGACACAAATGCTACAGATGACTTTAGCATCTACATGTGCTGAAAGATTAGTATGATTTCTTTTATCAATACAAGCAAATATTGAGTGATTTCAAGTTACCGGTAGGTGTTTAGCTGGTGTTAGTGTTTAATGAACACTAACACCAGCCCTAAACACCGAAATGGAAATTAGCTGGTGTTAAGGATTTGACCACTAAATATCGTCAACTCACAGTAGCTAGTGTTATCGATTTGTCGTCTGCTGAACCAACCTCTGTGGCTGGTGTTAATATCTTACATACAAATGTCCTATTCACTAACACTAGCCCCTAGGGATTACCGGATAGCAAATGTTAATTTCCAGTTCGGTGTTAGTGCTAAGCTATGGATATTGATATCAGTATCAGGCTCTTAATTTCATCAGCAATTTTTTAGCTTGATTTAAGAGCTCTTGACTGCTCTAAAAACTAACACTAACACTAACACCCAACTTGAAATCACTCATTGCAGTGGGTCATCCCAACTGGAAGTGCTTTAAACACCTTTTATTTCCTTTCATTTTTCTTCCTCTCTATCTTCATTGCAACAGTTTCTTTCTTCTTTCTTTGCATGATCAATGCTATACACGTTCCATGTAGTCATTACTATTAATACAACTACATCTTTGCGGGAACTTCAACCAAGCATAAACCATTGACATCTTAACGTAGATCACTTACGGAATGTTTAAAACAAGGATTCAAACACTGCAACGGTTTTGCTCATGAAGGGGTACAATGTAGTGTGTACTTTGGTGAACTTTGAAATAAAAATTGCAGCAAGAATCATTTTCATGCTCTTCCTTTCATTCGTCATCAGTAGATTATGAAAAGCAAGGTGCCGTATGGGATTATACCAGAGCAGGATAGAGAGCAAGAGAGAGAGAGAGAGGGAGAGAGAGAGAGAGAGGGATAAAGAGAGAGAGAGAAATACTTGAGTGAGTGAGACAAAGAACCCAAACAGGCACTTTAATGCAACGTCAAGGAAACAGACAAAGGGGGCCAAAAGTATGACATGAAAAAATGTAAAATATAAGGATGAAAAAGTACAAGACCACATGAAATGGATAATCCTGAAAGAGGAGATTGGAATTTGAGAGATACTCTGTGCTGAATACATGAAAGGAGAGGGGGTATCAACCCATCATTCAAAAAGCCTTGAAAGCTGACTGACTCGGCTTGCACGCTTGACCAATGGAACAGGGGTAGGACTTACGATTGCTGCCGGAGAACCCAGGGTCAGACTCTGGACCTGGAAGTGCATGGGGTTTGTTGCGTTGCGGATGACCGCCACCGCCTGGTCGTGCGTTGCTTCTCGCAGGTCGCAGCCGTTCACCTGGATGGGATCAAGGGTGAAAGGGGGAGACGAGACATGAGTTAGAGTGATTTTTGTACAATAATTCGACGTGCTATATTATAACTTGTTTCAGAATAATGACAGTGGCAGAGATATGAGTGAGTACAGATATAAAACTTTCTCCTCTGTTTGTATTCAATTTCAGGGGATTACAAGATCGTGAATCATGGATGCGGAATTTTGAAAGGGAATTTGTAGTTTTATTATCCTAATTGTCATCATCCCGTTTTGAGTTTTCCAGTCCAAGCTGGGCAGCCCTTAAGACAATCATCCTCCTCTGCATCATTATCATTATCATCAGCACCATCCCCATACTCACCACCATCATCATCAGCATCATCATCATCATCATCATCACCATCATCATCATAATCATCATCCTCTTTTTCCTCCTCATCATTACTATCACCACCACCACCACCATCACCACTGGTCATCATCATCATCATCATCATCATCATCATCATCATCATCATCATCATCATCTTCTTTTTCCTCCTCATCATTACTATCACCACCACCACCACCATCACCACTGGTCATCATCATCATCATCATCATCATCATCATCATCATCATCATCATCATCATCATCATCTTCTTTTTCCTCCTCATCATTACTATCACCACCACCACCACCATCACCACTGGTCATCATCATCATCATCATCATCATCATCATCTTATTCATCCCTACATATATCCTCTACCAATGATAGAAACTATGGATAGCATCATCTCTCCTCTCACCTCTAGAATTCTGTCTCCCGTCTTGAGTTGTCCAGTCCTCCAAGCTGGGCTGCTCTCCAGGACATGCTTGATGAAGATGCCTTGAACAACTTCACCATCTCCTCCAGCACGCCCTAAAAAGATGATAAAAGAAAAAAATAAACAAAAATATTTCTACCATTGGATAGGTTGGTTTCTACATTCTAGTTTGCTCCCAGATATTAGCAAGCAAGAGTTAGATGGATCATTAGCATTGCATTTTTAATTTTTTTTTTTTAAATAATGAAGAAAGAATAAGTGGCTAACACAAGCTTGTAGTTTTGAACCCTGTCTCAGTACCTATGTGTTGATGAAGCATGGTATTTACACTGAACACTCTTCACTCCAAAGTACAGAGAACATGGACAGATCTATTCTATGTTTGTGTACACAGATAACACCTGGTGGGGTTAACGATAGGCTTGAGTTCTGGTAATGATAGAAAATAAATTCCCACAGAATCCAGCAAAACTTACACTGGGAATGTTCAAAATTACAAATAAATTACATATACCAAACGATTTTGGTTGAAAATGTATAGGGGCTGAGTAATGAGCATAGAAAGATAAGGAAATCATTTAAAGTATTAAAGCCCAACACCATGTGTTTCACACAGGTCACTAGTATGTGCAAATGAGGTTTTTGTGAGTTTGATTTTGTTTTATTGGTTCAAACAATCCAGGATGAATTATAGCTATGTTCTCTTGACAGACGATGCCCATACCAGAGGTCAAGATTAGCTTTAAGACTAGGATAATATTACTCATCACACATAGTGGCATTTTTAGCCCTGTTCATGTAGTTGCAGCTGTAAAAAACGATATTAATATCATTCCCATTATCAAGTAAATATTATTGACCAAGTAGAGTTTCCTTCACAATCTTTCATGAGAGAGAGATAGAGAGATAGAGAGAGAGAGAGAGATATGCCTACCTCCCACGATACTGATGCCCAGGCTTCGTCCAGGCTCCTTATTGACTGTCACCGTCTTCACATCTCCCCATTCACTCTCCCCTGAAGCTGCTTCCTCACTGGGTGGGGTCTGGCTTGGAGGGGTTGTCATGGTGATGTCCATGCTGGAGTTGGGGGTTATGGATGGACTACTGCTTGTACAAGGAAAGGGGAAAAAACCCATGGATTTCAATATTTTTCCAGCGCTGTAGGTGGTTAGAACTGCCTACATGTTGGATCTGATATATTATTTTTTACTCTTTCTTCATTAAATTTGAAACAGCTCTTTGATTTGTTAAGTCAGGGAACAAGGTTTGTATTATTAAACTTGAAAACTGAAAAGGAGAATTACACTCCACGCTTGAGAAATTGTATTTGTAATATGGATACAGGATTCTGGTCCATGCACCAAGATGAAAGAATAAATCTATTCAGATTTCATTTCTATGGTCAGTTAATTCACCCATGATATGTACATATAGGTACATCTTATTCCAACTACCCACCCCTACCCCCCTACCCCCCCCCCCCCACATGACCCATGGGTGTAGCACAGCTGGGAGACTTTTGTAGAATAAAAATATGAAGGAGTACTGTATGCTTGGGGATCTCTCATGTGCAGAAACTACCCTTTTCACCACTACTAGCTTTCAAATTACATGAAAAATATGATTCTTTGTTTAATACTGCTCTTTATGTCTGAATGAGTCTCAAGAGCTTAAAGACGCTATCCGTGCTTAATTAATGCAAAGTCATCGTGAATATGCGTACTCCACATACGATGATGTCATCAAGTCGATGGCAATTTTTTAGGTCGACAACTTCCGATTTTCAAAGCTTTGGATTTTAGTTTTCAGAGAGCTAATACTCCTCTGAAAGACACTAAAATGGCATATATAATTGATATTATTGTAATCCAAGACTAATATGCTTTCCGTTGATATAATCATTCCATTTCATTTTCAGTTCGGATATGCTCTTTAGTATTTTCTCTTTCGCTTTTTCCTGGTTCTCCTACCTGTCTGTTGATCTGACGACGCTGGAAGCACGGAATGCAGAGAGGGGCGGGGTACCCATGGGGGACCCTGAGGAGGATTCTAAGAGACCAGCGGCCTTGGTGGCTGGAATGTAGGTCACCCTGCAAAAGGTCAAAGTGCAAGTCATTATTAGAGATAATAGGCACATTTGTATAGCGCTATGATACTACGTTTCTAAGCGCTTTACATTGTAATTGGTTTTGGTGGTGGTGGTTATTTTACCTGACTGCTAAGAAAGCATAAATGCTTGTAAGTAAGCAACCAGACGGCCGACGGCTTCCGGTCCTCTCCAAAGGAACCTGGTAATGAGGATTAATGCCTTACCAAAGGGTACTAGCGCATCGTCTTGGTTTCAAACCCGGGTTACCGGATTACGAGACCACTGCTCTACCAACTGAGCTATCACGCCTCCTCATTATTGGTACCCAGTCATTAGATTCAATTGCTAATCCACACATATTCTGGCCAGGTGCAATTTTAAAAGTGCACACATGCCAATCCATTAACGGTCGCATCCTACCGGGTACCCATTTAACACCTGGGTGGAGTGTGGCAAATGCAGATTAATGTCTTGCAAAAGGATGTTAGTGCCATGGCGGGACTCGAACCGGGAACCATGTAACTGATTGTAAGTCTGCTCCATCACATATACAGTCAAACTTGTCTATAGCGACCTCCCAAGGGAAACACAAATAGTGGCCTTTGTAGACAGGTTCCTTTAGTACATGATTCAATGAGAAACCATTTTCAAGGGAAACAACAACTGTGGCCTTTGTAGACAGGTGGTCACTAAAGCAGTTTTGACTGTATTTGAAACATATAAAAATGATCATATGTGCAACGGGAAAACATTCCTAAATGTTTAAGAAATTCATTGATTGGAAGGATTCAATTTTGATTTGACAGATGATCTGCGAAAGATTTGTACCCAGGTGTCATAATTTGAAAAGAGCCCCTAAACAATGGCTGCAAGGGATATAATTTAGACTTAATTTAAAAAAAATGTTTATCAAAGTTATAGACTTTTTGATCTTTGGTCTTTGAAGATTGAAATTCTAAAACAGCGAAAGTCATAAAAATCTTCCCAGTTCCTCATGTTTCAACTCGAGGGCAACACGACAACCAAGCATTCAAGAAAAACTTACGTGATATCTGTCCCTTGAAGGAAACTCCTTCTGAGCACCCCTCGGGCCGTGTTGTTGCTAAGGTTACGCATGCTCTCTCCGTTGACGCCCGTGATGTAGTCTCCCATCGAGAGGCGCCCGTCCTGCTGGACACACCCCCCACGGATGATGGACTTGATGACCACTCCGTTGGCCTTGTCGGCACTGACCGTCAAACCTAGAAATGGTCATTTGATTTGATTTGATTTGATTTATTTTTGTTTGATTTTTTTTTATCTTTTGCATTTTTACAAATATATAACAATCAAACATTTAAAATCATAATTATAACATTGAATAAAATAATGACAAAAATAAATGATGATGATGATGATGATGAAGAAGATGATGATGATAAGGATGATGATGGCCATTCTGCTTGGATGGGCTGAATGCCAAACCTAGAAAATTTATCATTTTTAAATAATGATGGCTGTTGGCCTTGTCGGAACTGACCGTCAAACCTAGAAATTGTAATTTAAAATCATAATTATAACATTGAATAAAATAATGACAAAAATAAATGATGATAATGATGACGGAGAAGAAGATGATGAAGATAAGGATGATGAAGGCCATCCTGCTTGATGGGCTGAATGCTAAAACTAGAAAATATATTATTTTTAAATAATGACAAAATAACAATACTTAGGATTCTTATTGCAGGACTTAAATACCCAAAAGTAATCGGCCAAAGTATTAAAATGTGACTTTCCAAAAGAAAATATGTTCTATAATGAAAATAATAACTATAATATCATGATGTTCAGGCTTGCCAAAAACATATTGTAGGCATTCTCCACTTCCTAGGGAGCATTCCTGGCATGTGCCATTCCAAAGATGAGCACAACGCTGAACGAACCTAACTGTGAAACAAAAATATGATTTGTTGCTAACTTCCATCAAGAAACAAACAAATACATGTACAACAATTTTGAAATTCATTCTTTAATTCAGCCTAAAAATCCCATCAAGTATTACATATATTTGATATTTTGGTCCACTAAGAGGTTTATAACAACCTACACTATGAACATGACGGACAAAGAAAGTGGACAAAATATACAATTCGTCATTCTACCCTCAACAATTGCTGTGGTAGACAAAGGAACATCCCTTCACTGCTATTATGTAAAAATAACTAGCACAGGTGAATTTGCATGTGACACCTGTTCTTCACATTTTACATAATAGAAGTGAAGGGATGTTCCTTTGTCTACCATAGCAATTGTTGAGGGTAGAATGGGGAACTGTATATTTTGTCCGCTTTCTTTGTCCGTCATATTCATAGTGCTAACACTTACCTAGTCCTGCGTTTGTCTTCTTCAAGACAATGGTTTCTTCCAGGGAGGGGGGCAGGACCACGTTAGACGACTTCCTCCTACCGATGGGCGGGGTTGACTTCATCGGCACCATCTTAGAGGTGCGTTCATCTGGGGTACGCTCCTCAGCGGAGGCCTGTCGATGATGTGAGACAGTGATTGAACCACCGGAGCTAAAGCTGCTAGAGGGGGAAAACCCCTTGGTGCCGGGAGGGGTATACCCCCTGGGACCAAGGATAGAAGCGGAAGTGGAGCGAGGGGAAGAGGAGCGAGGGGAAGAGGTACCGGAGGAGGACTGGCTAGGGCGGAGCACAGGCTTTGGAGGCGGCTTGGGTGGGGTGCGCTTGGGGTGGGGAGGAGTGGCAGGTGCCGAGGGCTGATAGTGGGTTATAACAACCAATGAAATGGTTCAAATGACAGGTGCGTTTGAAGCAAAAGGGTGCGTTGGGAGGGAAATGGTGTACAAACACAAAACCACACATTTTGGATGATACATTTAGCACAATTATCACACAAGTAATGAATTAATTGGATATTATATGAAAAGTAAAACCAGACAGATTAATTCAACAGAAGAAAGGGATAAAAGGTATAAATCAATGATCAAAAGATACAATAATAACAAAATCACAATTTCGTAAATTCAAGAGGACAAATTGATAAAAATTAGATCAATTATTGATAGCCACACAGAATCAAGATTAGTTCAGTTTTTTTTTTGGTTTTGATTTTTGCAAAGAAAGGGTTACATTTTAATTTTGGAAGGAGCAGGGTGCAGGGGAAAGGCGATACATAGGGGAAAAAGAACCAAAGAATGAAAAGCGAAGATGCAAATCAATGTCAGTATAACTTTGTTCAATGTAAATGAATGAAAATGCTAAATACAAAGATAACGTGTCAAAATGCAAATGTGTCACAATGTAAATGTGTCAAAATGCAAAATGTGATGTTTTTATTCTGTCTAGTATTCAGTAAACAACAACAACAAAATCAAACCACCGGTATATTCTTCCCTTGGATTCTTGAAGCACATCCTACAACAAATCTCACTAAACAATAAGAGAACGGAAAACAATAAATGTAGGAGGCCTGCTTGTATAATGGTTATTTATCAAAGTTTTTTTTAATGGGTACTAGTTATTAAAAAGATCAAATTTTATACAAAATCTCAGCAAATCTTTTTGTTTACCACTCACAGCGAACAGGGTGTGGGATTTATTTCTGTGCATTTTGCTTTTAGGACAAATCACATCAAACTAGAAAGTCAGGCATTTTGTGGTTAAAAGCAAATCAGTGTGCAATTTATAATACTTCTAATTGTCTACTCTCCATGAAGGTGACTACATGGTTTTCATGAAAGGAACCCTTAAGTCTACCCCCCCCCACCCACCTGGAAAAAATAATGTCATCTTTCTTTTGCCCTCATAATTCTTCTTGTTTTGGTCTAGCATGCAAAGTATTTCCATTATTATTGCTTCATATTGTAAAGGTTAATGACTGCTAGTAGTGCATGTGATGAAGTGCTGTATTGTGTCATTGCGCCAGCACAAGAAGATGCAAACAAAACCAACTATTTCCACCTCAAAAGAAGAGCAGACAGCAATTCCCTTCAACTTTAACTCAGTATTTTAATTTAAAGTGACAGATAAGGGAAAGGAAAGTCAAGTACAGCAAACTGCAGGGTGGTTTTTTCACTGCAAAGTCTTTTGGATGAGAGCAACACACATGTACAGTTGACAACTTAATTGTTATCATACATATATACCAATTTTTGTATAAAAATATGTGGAAAATTGATTTATCCTGATTTAAGTTTCTTGAGAATATGACAATTTAAAGCTTACACCTATCAAACTATTCAACAAAGGCCCTAGTGCGACCATGCATTCCACCTTTCATTCTTGAGTTACAAAAAAACAAAAAACATCAAATTTACAAGGGGTATGAATAATTTAGGTGTTAATTTTATGTATTTTAGGAGGAAAATAAAACCATTAAAGGAAACAATTCAAATGGCCAAGAAAGACTGGTGGTCTTTACAAAGGTGGTCATGCAAAGAAAGGGCCCTCTATTATGTGTGGTCTTTCTAGAGACCGTCATAAAAACAAGTTTGCTGACATGAAAACCCACTGAAAGTGTTTAAATGGGACGTCGATGAACTTGTACTTTAATATGATGGTTTCGTGAAACGATGGCCAGGTGGATAGGTGAATAGTATTCAATAGTTTCCATTTTGACAGGTGCCTCCAAACTTATTATTTGGGGGAAGGGGGAGGGGAGAGGGAACTTTTACAATAAATTATGGTTTAAATTACAACATTTTAATCTAAAGGGGATAACCTTTTTTTCTCTATTTGCAATAACAGACCTACAAATTGGCCCCAAGAATAGTATTTGTTTAACAAGTAAGATAGGAAATCTGATACATGTACCTTTAGAGCATTTAACAAGGAAATCCCTTACTTTCTTCCCTTTCTCCTTTAAAAAAACAGTACAGCACTTATTTTCACATGGTGGTTATAAAAATCAAAACATTTATAGAGTGCAATAAAATGATATGTATATACAAATGAGGTGCGATTCACTAGAAAAGGAAAGATGAAAAGGAGACGAATGTCAACTTTCAGGTGCGAAATTACCTATTGAGATGGGGATATAGAGGCTGAATAATACAACACATTGATGAACAAATATATTTTTTTTTTAATTGTCTGGTCCCTGTGACTACAAAGAATGGGATGAGTGTGAAAGTGTACAAAAGGTGTGAGTTTTAAGTATGAAAGTGTACAAAATGTATTGACAGAGTGAAGAATAAAAGTATACTGCACAGCAAACTAGAATACACGTACATCCGATTCCTATTCAATGAGACATGGATGGGAACAATATATTGGGGTGAAAGTGGATTTTTAACAGTGGATTTTTTTGAATGGGTAGAGGGCCAAGGCAGGGAAGGAGAGGGACTTTCCCACCGGGACCTGTTTCTATCATCTCCCTGGTTTGTTTTATTCATCGTCTTCCCGAAGCACACCAGAGCTAATTGGGCAATTTCAAGCTGGATAAATCTGCACAATGCCATGCAAAACTGTGATGTCGAGTTGCCTAATACATGCAACTCTCTCAGCTATTTTATCTTTTCCTTTTGATTTCGCACAGGGATGAAGCAACTATAAGGCATAAAAAAAAAGATGTTGTATTGCCCTTTGAAATCTTGAAATCTATGGTCGGCTTTAAAAAAAAATCTTACGTGATATCCATCCCCTGAAGGAAAGTCCTTCTGAGCTTTTCTAGAAAAAATTGTTTAATAAATAAAAAATATGTATTCAAGCAAAACACTGAGATATATCAGCCCAAATAGGGAGACAAAAAAGAAGGAAAAAAAGGATTTCTGACCGACCGACCCATGTCTTGGCACCTAAAGGGCAATACAACATTTTTTTTTAAAAGCCTAATCTTGGTTGGAGAAAGAAAGCAGCGAGCTCGCATTCCCAGCAAATAAAATAAGACATTTCACATCATGCAATAACTTTGCTACATTAGTCTCAAGGCAGGGATGCAGTGCAAGAAAGGCTGAGTACAACATTTATCATCTATTCATTAATAAATAAGGAATACAAATTAAAAAATCTTTCAACTTTCATATTCAGAATGATAAAGAATTCAGCTAAATTAGTGCATAAACCAGATTGTTCATTTCATCTAATGAAAAATAATAACAATGCATTATTCAAATCTCAAAACTTCAATGAAACTGTCTAGAGTCCTATTTTTTTCTGTAAGCACATCAAGTTAAAAAACATGCATGAAATATTGAAATCAAAACTTTGAGTAGAAAATGTGAGATAAGGTACTCAAGTTCAGTTTTAAAATTGTTTGGAGTATGATTCAGAAGTTAATCAAGGATATGTAACTGCATGCTACATTCCATATGTATATAAATACTGCAATCCTCTCAAGTTTATGTTCTCATACAAGATGGTATCATTATGACAGTGCTACTTTTGAAATATATGGATATATCCACTTTGCTCTATCAAAATTATGCATAATCTGAAAATGTACCAATCAATTCACTTTTTGTTGCCAATTAATATGTGGTGATGCTTTTTAAAAAAATGTAATAAATTTGTCATTTTACGCCCAGATATTTATATTCTTTAATCTAGTGATAAAGCAAATTGGCTATATCACAATGAAACTATTATTGACAAGTTCAGCGCAGACCATCACTATGCCAGTCATTGAATCCCTAATGGTTTAACCTAATCTAGGCCCGTTGAACAAAAACTTACCATTGATGGTAACTTTGCCATCAATGCCAACTACCATGGTAACAGGGCTCAACAGCCAATCAAAATCAAGGTTTCCATGGAAGTTACTATTGATGGCAAACTTACCATCAATGGTAAGTTTTGTGCAACAGGGCCCTGATCTTCAAACTTTGGTGTAAATATGAATGAAAACCACATGTAGGAGGTAGCGAGCTCTTTTGGTGGTAAGAATCTAGTCTCTGATACTAATCAATGACATCAATTAGCACGAGTCAATCTTCAGCTTGGTGTTAGTGTTAACACCACAAGGATTATAAACACCGCACCACTTTCTACATGCCATCTTACCTGTTCTATGGCCACTGTTCCAGTAACACCGGGTTTGACTGGTGGAGGGGGTTTAGACATCGGTGCTTGAGGCTTGGGGCCGTCCGACACTGTTATAGATGACACCAGATCGGGGGGCATGGTTGGGGGTTGGGTGTCAGCTGGTTGGGGTGTGGGAGGGGCACTGTGGGCAACAGATATTTTTGCTGCCACTATTGCTGGTTCTGCAGGTACTGTAAAGAGAAAGAATGGGAGGGGGGGGGGGATAATAATACAAGGAGATATGATGGCTTAGTTGTAGAGCAGTGGTCTTGTAAGTAACTGGGAGGTCCAGGGTTTGAAATTAATTCAATGCGCTAGTGCCCTTTGGTAATGTATCAATCCTCATTACCAAGTCCCTCGGACAAGACTTAAAGCTGTCAATCCCCCGGTTGCATACTTTCAACTGAAACATGCTTCATCTTCCCTTCCATCTCCCCTCTCTGCATTTTCTATCTCCCTCTTTACACCCCTCCCCCTTCCCAGACAACTCTGTACACATTAATGATGAGTGACGCATCCACAGTTTGCTTTACATTTCTCCAATAACCCATCATACTTATTTCAAAGTGACTCAGTAACATTGTTGAAGGTTGATGAAAAAAATGCATAATTTTTGTCAGAAATGATACTTATTATATTCCTTCTACTGTACTAACACTTTAACATGCAAAAAAGTCCTGAAAAATTCTCAAACCACCAAGATATTAAAAGGCGTCACTGTGCGGCATCCTCTAACAGTGAATTCTCCCCACCATATTTGAATTTTCCCAACTGTTTTTCCACGTAAATAATACATAAGACAAGCTTTTAAAAATCTTTCAACACTTAAATGTCTGGAATATAGAGCCAATTTATTGCATTGTGATGATTTACATTCACCTTGGGAGAATTAAGGAATCAATCAGATAAGTTTTCCCCCATTTTTTATCCTTAATAATGATCTGTCTTTAATCAAACTTTCAGAATATCTTTAATTGTACATCTAGCAATGTAGTCACTACTTTAGCACCATTTACTCTCATCTGAACAATGTCACATAGTCCCTTTAATAATGAAACATACCTTCTACGGAAATTGGTTTGACTTCCACCTCCATCTCCTTCCCCATCTCCCTCTCTGCTTCCACTAACTCCCTCTCCGCCTCCTCCATTGCTTCCTTGGCCATCATCCCAGCAGCCAGGGGCGAGATGTCAACGTCCGGTAGCATGGGCGTGGTGGAAGGCATCGGGGGTGGCGACTCCTGGACTGTGGTGGGCGTGGCACTTACCACCTGCGTCTGAGGAAGATACAAGCAATGTGTTTTTTTGTCTTTAACATTTGAGAAAAAAACAACAGCGTTTGACAAAGAAGATACTTTCTGCTGCTTTCAAGCTATTAAAGTTGCCCAAGCGTTGGTATATAGAGGGCAGCATACGAACGTATGCACGGGAGCATAATACCCATTGGCTCAGTGTTATGTAGTGATCACCAAGTTACCTACTCCACGAACGACTATATATCCACGCATGAACATCTTTTAACAATTGACATTAGATTAGTGCTTATCTTCTCTCTTTCAACTGTTTTCAAATACTTACCATGCATTATGGAGTATTGTCACTCAGACAATTATGCAAACAAACAAATACTTTTTCCTCAAATTTCATCAGGCTGATATTACAGGTCCAGGGGGTGTTTCACGAAGACTAAGATCGACTTGAAGTTGGATTCAACTATGGCAGGCCATCAATGCCACTGTTTGCCAAGCTGTTTGCTCTCACCATTATGATCTTTAGATATTATCTTTTCCTTCAATAATGAATTATCAAAAACTTTAAATTCTGTAGGTATGTGACCATGATTTGTACGTCCCTTGAGAGACAAATGCCAGTAAATGGTGAGAGCAAACAGTGGCATGAACGGCCTGCCATATTTAAGTCCAACTTAAAGTCAATCTTAGCCATTGTGAAACACTCCCCAGGACTACATGTAGCGTGGGCCCCAAATGATAAAAACTGATCTGTGGCCTGGAAGAATGTTACATAACATAGATATTTTGAAAAATCTGCCTGACAAAGACAAAGACTGCAGGTAACAAGGAAGTTAGTGCCATCCATGGAACGGATTGTAAGAACCTTTTCTTTTCAATAATTGTTTTCAAAGGTCTTACCCGGGTTCCAAACCAATGCGATGCGCTGGTGCCCTTTGGCATCTTTAGATATTATCTTTTCCTTCAATAATGAATTATCAAAAACTTTAAATTCTGTAGGTATGTGACCATGATTTGTACGTCCCTTGAGAGACAAATGCCAGTAAATGGTGAGAGCAAACAGTGGCATGAACGGCCTGCCATATTTAAGTCCAACTTAAAGTCAATCTTAGCCATTGTGAAACACTCCCCAGGACTACATGTAGCGTGGGCCCCAAATGATAAAAACTGATCTGTGGCCTGGAAGAATGTTACATAACATAGATATTTTGAAAAATCTGCCTGACAAAGACAAAGACTGCAGGTAACAAGGAAGTTAGTGCCATCCATGGAACGGATTGTAAGAACCTTTTCTTTTCAATAATTGTTTTCAAAGGTCTTACCCGGGTTCCAAACCAATGCGATGCGCTGGTGCCCTTTGGCATCTTTAGATATTATCTTTTCCTTCAATAATGAATTATCAAAAACTTTAAATTCTGTAGGTATGTGACCATGATTTGTACGTCCCTTGAGAGACAAATGCCAGTAAATGGTGAGAGCAAACAGTGGCATGAACGGCCTGCCATATTTAAGTCCAACTTAAAGTCAATCTTAGCCATTGTGAAACACTCCCCAGGACTACATGTAGCGTGGGCCCCAAATGATAAAAACTGATCTGTGGCCTGGAAGAATGTTACATAACATAGATATTTTGAAAAATCTGCCTGACAAAGACAAAGACTGCAGGTAACAAGGAAGTTAGTGCCATCCATGGAACGGATTGTAAGAACCTTTTCTTTTCAATAATTGTTTTCAAAGGTCTTACCCGGGTTCCAAACCAATGCGATGCGCTGGTGCCCTTTGGTAAGGCATTAATCCTCATTACCAGGTCCCTCGGAGAGGACCTAAAGCCGTCAGCCGTCTGGTTGCTTACTTACAAGCATTTACGCATTCTTAGCACTCAGGTGAAATAACCACCACTGCCACTATTTCTCAGGAGAGTTTGTTCCATAGGCATGGGTCAACAGATTGAAAAGATGAAACAAAAACCTGGGACCAGTTTCACAAATTCTTTTTTCAATGACAATTGACAAAAATCAGTGACAAATCCGATGATAACAGGCCTCGAATTACATCAAATTTGGGTCAAGGCCACTTTTTTGAGAGGGCACAAATCCACTAAAAGGGGCACAAATCTACCCTAAGGGGCACTAAGGCCAAATTGGAAAGTGTGCGTAAAATCACCTCACGCCGTTTTCATAATGGGGGGGGGGGGTATTTGCACCCCCCCCCAACTGAGCGAATTATCGGCCGGCGCGATTTTCAAATTTTCGGGAGCAAAAAAAAATAGTGCTAACTACCCCCTCTCCCCCCCCCCTTATTAACAGTCTAGCTGTTTCGCCGCTAAATATTCTCCCACGAATTGGGCCCCCTCTTTGGTCCCCTCCCTGCCGCCGGCTGGATCTGCCTGTGGGGTGGGTGGAGGGAGTGGAGAGTTTCCCCCTTTGACGTTTCATTGAATTATTCAGAAAGAAGACTATTTGATGTACCATCTCGACTCTTTATCCTTTTCTGAATTCCGCAGGAAGCGCGAAAGCTTGGATGTTTTTAATAAATTATTAGGGACAAAAGACAATTCGTTGTACCGTTCTCGGCTATTAATCCTTTTCTGAAATCAATTCCCACCCCGTTTTAATTAAAAGGTATGGGAAAGAAGACGATTCGATGTATCATTATCTCAACTCTTAACCCTTTTCTGATTTAATTCCCGACCGTCCTCTCGAGAAAAATCCAAGTTTTTCACTGATTAAAAACTCTGAAAACGCACCAAAAAAAGGTCACAACGCGAAGTGAAGATGTTGATCCTTCGATGGGTAAACAAAACTCCCCGATATTGATTGGTCCAAATAAAAAGGATGGAGATGGATTGAAAAACTAAGCCTTAGTCGATACAGTTTTTGTGCCAAACGTTTCAGTCATTTCGATGAAGATATGCTTTCATATCTGTGTATCGGCAATGGAGTCCCGCCAATAGTTATTAATTTAGGAGTTCCATGGTGGCAATGAAGTCTCGCCGATGATTATTGTTTTTAGATCTCCGTAGGGGCAACAAAGTCAAGCCGATATTGTTTTCAGATCTCCGTAGGGGCAGTGAAGGCATGTCGATAATTGTTTTATTTAGATCTCCGTAGAGGTATCAAAGTCTTGCCCATAATTATCGTTTTTAGAGCTCCGTACGGGCAACAGTCTTGCCGATAATTTTCTGTTTTTAGATCTCCGTAGAGGCAACAAAGTCTTGCCGATAATTATTGATTTTAGAGCTCCGTAGAGGCAGCAAAGGCATGCCAATAATTATTGTTTTTAGAGCTCCGTAGGGGCATCAAAACCCTGCCGATAATTGTCGTTTTTAGAGCGCCGTAGGGGCAATAGTCTTGCCGATAATTATCGTGTTTAGAGCTCCGTACGGGCAACAAAACCTTGCCGATAATTATTGTTTTAAGATCTCCGTAGGGGCAACAATACCTTGCCGATAATTATTGTTTTTAGATCTCCGTAGGGGCAACAAAACCTTGCTGATAATTATTGTTTTTAGAGCTCCATACTGGCAACAAAACCTTGCCGATTATTAATGTTTTTAGATCTCCGTATGGGCAGCGAAGGCATGTCGATAATTATTGTTTTTAGATCTCCGTAGGGGCAACAAAGTCTTGCCGATAATTATTGGTTTTAGAGCTTCTTAGGGGCAGCGAAGGCATGCCAATAATTATTGTTTTTACATCTCCGTAGGGGCAACAAAGTCTTGCCCATAATTATTGTTTTAAGACCTCTGTATAGGCAACAAAACCCTGCCGATAATTTTCTGTTCTTAGATCTCTGTAGGGGCAAAAAAAAAACTTGCCGAAATTATTGTTTTTAGATCTCCGTAGGGGCAAAAAAACCTTGCCGATAATTATTGTTTTAAGATCTCTGTAGGGGCAACAAAGTCTTGCCGATATTTATTGTTTTTAGATCTCTGTATGGGCAAAAAAACCTTGCCGATTATAATTGTTTTTGGAGCTCCGTACGGGCAACAAAACCTTGCCGATTATTATTGTTTTTAGAGCTCCGTAGGGGCAACAGTCTTGCCGATGATTGTGGTTTTTAGATCTCTGTAGGGGCAACAAAGTCTTGCCGATTATTATTATTTTTTTAGATCTCCGTAGGGGCAACAAAACCTTGCCGATTATTAATGTTTTTAGAGCTCCGTAGGGGCAACAAAACCTTGCCGATAATTATTGTTTTTAGATCTCCGTAGGGGCAACAAAACCTTCCAGATTATTATCGTTTTTAGAGCTCCGTAGGAGCAACAGTCTTGCCGATGATTGTGGTTTTTAGATCTCCGTAGGGCTACAAAGTCTTGCCGATTATTATTGTTTTTTTAGATCTCCGTAGGGGCAACAAAACCTTGCCGATTATTAATGTTTTTAGAGCTCCGTAGGGGCAACAAAACCTTGCCAAAATTATTGTTTTTAGATCTCCGTAGGGGCAACAAAACCTTGCCGATTATTATCGTTTTTAGAGCTAAGTAGGGGCAACAAAACCTTGCCGATAATTATTGTTTTAGAGCTCCGTACGGGCAACAAAACCTTCCAGATTATTATCGTTTTTAGAGCTCCGTAAGGGCAACAAAACCATGTCGATAATTATTGTTTTTAGAGCTCCGTAGGGGCAACTAAACCTTGCTGATAATTATTGTTTTTAAGAGGTCCGTACGGGCAACAAAACCTTGCCGATTATTAATGTTTTTAGAGCTCCGTAGGGGCAACAAAACCTTGCCAAAATTATTGTTTTTAGATCTCCGTAGGGGCAACAAAACCTTCCAGATTATTATCGTTTTTAGAGCTCCGTAAGGGCAACAAAACCATGTCGATAATTATTGTTTTTAGAGCTCCGTAGGGGCAACTAAACCTTGCTGATAATTATTGTTTTTAGAGGTCCGTACGGGCAACAAAACCTTGCCGATTATTATCGTTTTTAGAGCTAAGTAGGGGCAACAAAACCTTGCCGATAATTATTGTTTTAGAGCTCCGTACGGGCAACAAAACCTTGCCGATAAATATTGTTTTTAGACCTCCGTAGAGGCAACAAAGTATTGCCGATAATCATTGTTTTTTAGATCTCAGTAGGGGCAACAAAGTTTTTTTGAACATTACAAGTCGGGGTTGACTTACGATGACTATAATGTCGGCAAAACTTTTGTGGATTAAAATATTGTGGCCGTAAACGGTTTGATTTTGAAAAGGGCATTCCGGCCAGTGAGAGGGGCATGGCGGCAAATTGCCGATTGCCGGTGGGTAATTCGAGCCCTGTGATAACCAATCAGAAGCAAGGATTTAACTAGCTTATAACAAAAACTGTCATTTGTCACTGATGACAAATTTTGTGAAACAGGGCCAAGAGTAAAAACTGAATTTTGACATACCTCCTCGCTTTCCATCCCAGCAGCAGGCTTGGCCACGCCTATTGTAACCATACCCCTGGGGGCGCCTTTCAGGACCTGGACAGCTGCGTCCAGTGTGCAGTTCTCCAGATTGGACTCGTTGACCAAAACAAGTCTGTCTCCGGGGATGAGGCGGCCATCTTGTTCTGCCACACCGTCTGGTACGAGGGATCGGATGACGATGACCGATGCTGCAGGGTTGTCTGGATCCTGTATCATAATAAAAATACATATGATAGGTAGGTAATAAAATATCAAAAAATATTGAGGTAACCTGGGCATCAGGCACGTAGCACAAATTTCCAAGATCGGTTGAACTTTTTTAGACCACTCCCCAGGACGTTGATCGATTACATGTATGTGCCCCCCCCAAACATCAAACTCTGGCTACATCCTTGCTGGGCATACCTGCTAAAATTTGAAAATAAATATTAAGAATTTTTTAGCACGACATGCCTTTGAAAATATGAATCACACTTGCAGCGGCAGTGTAACTGGCAATATGCGGTAAATCTGTACAAAAAACTGAATACAAATTGGCTGCTCGATCATGCAGCCATACAGCGCACGCAATAAGTGAACTCTTGAATGGGCGGCACATGACAAAAAGCTTTAGCACCATTAAAAAAAATATAAAGAATAATTTTTTTTTTTTTAAATATCGAAATTTTGAAAAATCAGAATTGTCCGAATTTACTGGTCCTAAAAATCCAGAAAATCAAAATATTCTGGATTATTCGGAAGGGTTGGCAGGTATGCCTGGGCACTGTAACACAAAGTGTAGCAGTTGTTCGTACATTAGATTTTTTGTGACTGATTGTACATAGTGATCAATAAAACTAATCAAAAAAATCAAAACACTTTTGATTCTTCGGGTGACTACTTTAAGAAACAAGACCTACAGAAAATGTGAAAGATCAAAGGTCAAAGGGTGTACCTGATAGTCTAGGATACTGAACCCTAGTCCTCTATCTCCCTTCTCCAGCTCAATGTACTGTATCTCATTGCTCCACATTAAGACGTACCTGATAGTCTAGGATACTGAACCCTAGTCCTCTATCTCCCTTCTCCAGCTCGATGTACTGAATCTCATTGCTCCACATTAAGACGTACCTGATAGTCTAGGATACTGAACCCTAGTCCTCTATCTCCCTTCTCCAGCTCGATGTACTGAATCTCATCGCTCCACATGGAGTCCTTATCCTGGCTGGCCTCGGTGTGGTTGCTGTAGTCCAGGGGACTTCCACTGTCATCCAAGGCAGGGAGCATAGGGGTCGTCATCTCCTTCTGATCAGTAAGGGAATAGACCAGTTCATGGTTAGCACATATCCCAAATGACCCTGAATATCCACAGATCTTCAAACATGAAGAGGTTCAACTTTGTACATTTTGAAATATTTACTCCTACAGCGACGGAGGTGCTACATAAATAGCCTTTGTTTCCCCCGTTTCAAAGATTACTTCCACCTGTGTATCATGGAGTGCACTGCTTGTGCATAAATAAATGATTACATAACTTTCATGAGCACTTATCCAGTATTTTGTCTCCGTGTATTTCACAATTTGGTCTACAATGACCTTTATCTATTCATGCTCAGACTGCAGCTATGAACTGGCTTATAGAAAACAATGTTTAGAGAAAGTTAAGCTTATCTAGAGTTCTAGTCAAGGAACTACATTTCAAGAGCAACTAGTGGAAAGTACTTTCTAAACCGGTTTGAAATGCTGTAGATGTTCTTTTTTTTGGTTTTACTTTCACCATTTTTCCCCTCTCAATATCAAGTGTTCTTGTGCTTGACACATGGTTGGGTCAACTCACTAATTTGTCTTGGCTTCCTTGGCTTTTGGCTCTACCTTAAATTTTCTGCAAAATAGTGTGGTTTGAACCTGTGATATTTTGTTTCTCATCATTGCCAGAACTGTATATTACCTTTAAATTTTCAGATGCTCAGTAATGGGCACTTTAACTGTGCATATAATGTAGAGATGCAACAGATCTATTGAATCAGATGTAGTATAGAAGAATGTACACTTCATCTGCAATCAACCAAACAACCAGAACAAATAGACTGTAGTGTTATGAAGACCGTTAGGAAAACAAATTCTGAAATTTCTAATTCCAATCATAGATATCTTGATAATCAGACAGGCGATTGGCTTGTTAAAAAATCCCCATGACTGACCTAAAGGTTTATAATTATGATTGCAGCAGGAGCTAAATCCAGGATTTTTTAAGAATCTGAGGCAAAGTTACCCAATGCCTTTAATACTTACCCCTGCAGACACATTGGCCGAGAACTGCGCCTCCACCTCCCCTGGCTCACTGCTGCTGCCAAGGCTAATGTCAGGGAGCTTCATATCGTCGCTGTCGCTGGTGGCATGTTCGATGGACGGTAGACTCTCGTCCGACATCACAGCCTGGGGGAAGACGAGGCCGGCGGAGCGGGCGCAGACCAGACGGACGTGCTGGGGAAGATCTTTGAGGATCATCACGACCGCCTCGTGGTTTTTCCCCAGCAGACGAATGCCATTGACCTACAGGATGAACGATAATCAACTGATGTGCTAATAGATGTGTTGCCAATTTGAAGAATCTGATGTTATTTCTCTTCATTAAATTTAAGATTGTAGCGACCTTGTAATTCTACCCCAGCAGACAAATGCCTTTGATTATGGGTGGCCAATCTGAAAAGTTCCCTGTATATTTTCTTATAAATATTCTATTCCATGAAGATTGCAAGCAATTCCCCTCTGGACATCCCTTTCCCAACAGAAGGGGGGGGGGGGGACCTCTATTTAACTCCATATTCATGATAATCATTGAGGGGAGGTGAGGATAACTAATTTTATCTGAGGGTATTAAGTGCCTTGATACAAAGAGATACAAAGAGATTCATGTTGACTGTACTCAAATCATTTCTTTGAAAAAGAAAAAAACAAACAAACTTCAAGACCTAAAGTAGTGCAAATGCTTTGTGCAAAAAGAAGTGATCTACCCTGCCACAAAACGTCAAGGCCCCAAAACGTTAGGGCCTAAACTGATCTTCCCCCATCACCACAGCATGGCACACTACCATGTTTCACATCCTCATTCCCACTCCAGTGTATATCAAACCATTTATCAATCGTGTCGAACACAGGTGCACACAGGTGCACACAGTGACACCATTCTACTTACATTTTGGGTTCTGTTGGGCCGTCTTGTTCCATCATCGTTTGGGAATATCTTACCAAAAAGGTTGCAGAAGTTTTGTGAAGAATTCAAGCTTACCGCTACATAAAACTGGACAATTTGGCACTCAGGCTAATTTCAAATACAACAAAATGATCAAACAAATACTTCACAGATTGTTCCACTCAAGCTTGAAAGGACATGCACAAAACTAATGGAATAAAAAATCCAAAGGAGGCTTCTCAACAAATAAACTTCACACTGTGTACTTTACTACTATAACAGATTTTCCCTGTGTTTTTCAATGAGAATAGTGATAGCCCCACATATCCACTTTCTTGTTATATCACTAACAACACTAGTCCTAGTAGTGCCATACAATCTTATTTGTGTATTAAGTAAATAGAAAGACAATACGAACCTCCAAAAGTTCGTCCCCACTGGCCAGGAGCCCATTCTGACCGACCGGTCCCTCGGCCTGGATGGAGCGGATGTAGTGGTGTGGCTGGATTTCTTGACCGTTCTCATCAATGTCCACTGTTCCTTCTAGACTGATGCCGAGACTCCCACCCTCATGGAACTTGGACAGCTGAGCAATCTGAAAAACAAGTAGGATAAGACATCAAAACAAGGGTATTTGTTTCTAGTTCATCGTGACTGTGCCATGGACCAGTGATGGCCTCGTGGTAGAGTCCCTGCCTGGCAAGCAGTAGATGCAGGTTCAAATCCAGCTGGTTCCAAGATTTTTTCTGACTTGTTTTTCAATACAGATCGATCAATCGATCTTATTTACTGGGTGTAAGCCACAAATATGTTTAAATAATTGAAATTTTTCGCAGAAGCATTACGTTTATAAAAATATCAGTGTTGCATTCAGGGACCAGTTCTGAGCCTAATAGACCAGCTCATAGTAAACTTTGGTACAAATGACCTCTAAATATCCACAGATCTTTTACACATGTAGACGTCCCAATTTGTGCAGTTTTAGAATAATCACTCCTGGTTGACAAATAGATGTATTTTAAACACTATAAAGTGCATATTTAAACGGATAGTTGAGTTCTGTTTTCAGACGGCAAATGCCTTCAAAGTGCATGCTTATTGCTCTTCTTCTTATCTATGACATTTCTAGTGCCCTTTTGGGACCTAAAATTGCTATGAAGGTAATTTTAGACCCCAAAATGTGTACAATTTAGCCCATACGATCATACCAATTCAGCTCCACTTTTAAAAAAAATATGGTGACCGTTAATTAATTAATAAACAATACATGGGCCGGCTGGTTGTACGTAATATAACCAACATGACAAAGCCAACAAAAAATCCAATATCTGCATTGGCTGAAATACAACGTAAAAGGTGCTATTTTGTTTTTTCAACGGCTTTTTCAAATTATCTAATATTTGTGGTGGTACACAAATATTAGAAATTGTTATATTTTTGGATATTTCTGAAACGATTTTGATCAAACAAAGATGATTTTGTCATTTAAATTGTATGTTCTTTCAAATTTGACACTCAGATTTTCATTATCTCACAAAAAATGATTTTGTGTAGCGCCCTTCGCAATAGAACTCAACTATCCCTTTAAGGCTGCTATCGAATCAAGCATCTTTGCTTATGATAGTTGGCCTCTGCATTTATCTTGATTATTTTTACTTACCCCCATACTTTCAAGCTTTCAATTATGCATTTTTATTTGTGTGTATTAAGTTGTCACTCTTTATGTAAATCAATTATATTATATACTATTATTGTTATTTGAATGTTTTATATTTGATTTATCAATAAATGGAGAAACATCTGCTAAAAAAAAAGGTATAACATAACGTCCGTAACTACATGTATGAAGAATACATTTTTGTCAGAAACTGAGATTCATTTGACTGATTACATACCACAATATCTTTCTCCAGTCCAAGCAAGCCTTGCCATAGAGCCATGATAGCTATCTCCTCTTCAGGACTCAATTCACCCTCTGAGAAAGTAAGAGAGAGAGAGAGAGAGAGAGAGGGGAGGGAGAGAGGAAGAGAGAGGGGGAGGGAGAGAGAGAGAGAGAGAGAGAGAGGGGGGAGGGAGAGAGGGGGAGGGAGAGAAAGAGAGAGGGAGAAACAGAGAGAGAGAGAGAGAGAGGGGAGGGAGAGAGGGAGAGAGAGGGGGGGAGGGAGAGAGAGGGAGAGAGAAAGAGGGAGAGAGAAAGAGAGAGAGAGAGGGAGAAAGAGAGAGAGAGAGAGAGAGAGAAAGGAGACATCGTTAAACATGTACAGTATTTCAAATAAGGAGAATGGGGAAAGTGCAACAAAGAAAGTAAAGAGAAGACAACTATTTGAGAAAATTATAATTCAAGCAAGTATAGTGAAAATTTCATACAAATCTTTCATCAAAATCAAGTTGTTCATATTTATAAGGGCATATTGCAAGAAGAAGAAAAATATGAAGAAAAAAAAAGAGGGAAAATAAAGTTGTGTGAAAGGACGGATAGACCATCCTGCATTTCTTCTGTAACAATTATGACTATACAATCTTAATTGTGAGAATATTATTACTCGCAAATAGTAATTGACTTACCAAAGCTCTCCTCCATCTGCCCTATCTGTTCCATCTCCCCATCATCTCCTCCTTGACTGAACGGTGATGAGGCAACGTTCATGGCGACCTCCGGTATGGCCGGTACCATGTCGTCATGGAGAGAGGGCGGGGCAAGATCAGGCAGGGGTGCGGCATGGGCTGGGATGGGAGGGGTCAAAAGGTCGGATGAATAATGATTTATAAAGATGAACGATAGAAATAATAGTTGAAAAGAAATATAGGAAACCTTAGGCCTAAAAAAAAAAAAGATGTTGTATTGCCCTTTAGGTGCCAAAACATGGGTCGGATGGTCAGAATTTTTGTTTCCTCCCTCTTTGGGCTGATATTTCTCAGTTTTGAATGCTTTAATAATTTTTTTCTCACAAAAAACGGTAAAAAAATAAAATAAAATAAACTTTAAAAGCCGACCATAGATTTTTTGGTCGACCACAAAGGGCAGTACAAAATCTATTTTTTTAGGCCTTATTATGATGTACAATTAAAAGGCAGATTACCTTTGAAAGTCAATACTTCTGATAATAAAAGGTATTGTAAATTTGTATGATAATTTGTATTTGCCGGCTGCTTCAAATTGTACATGTACCGGTATTGAAATACACTTGAACAAAATTACTGCTAATGGCTCAAGACTGATAAAGATAATTAAAAAGTATTGTCTTTGAGTAAACAATCCAGGGCTGAGAAGTCAAAGAGGATTTCCACAGTGCATTTACTTCTGTTTACTACCTGTGCCCCTCCTCCCCCTTCCCCCTCCCAAAAAAAAGCCCTCACACTATTCAATCCAATTCAAAATTGTTTCAAATTGTGCCTACAGATAATAATAATAATAATAATATTTAGCTTTTATATAGCGCTTAATAAAAATGTCTCTAAGCGCTTTATAAATATACTATTACCCCGGTCATTGGATTCAGTGCTTGCCCGCACACACAAAGACTTGGAAAACACAAGACAATATTACAAAACAACAACCACGAAACAACAAGGAAAAGGAAAACAGATAAAAGAAGAAGGAAAAAGGAAAAGGGGGAAGAAGGAAGAAGCTAGTTACCTTGTAAGGTTGGTTCCTCTGCTTGTTCTGGAGGGAACCTAACAAGCCTAAGCACCACCACAGCACCCGTCTGGCGTAGAAGATCCACAGCGGCCTTGTTGTCATACCCTTGCACGTTCACTGCATCCACCTGCCAAGGAGACGAATGATCAGATGTTTTCCTTTTCTCTTTCTCCCTATTTATCTTTCTTTTATCTTCTGTTTTACTCTTTTCAATTAACTCCTTAAAAAGTCCTTTCCTTATTGTTATCTTGAACAAGTTATTCCGATTAGATTTCTATCTACAGTGACTCATGACACTGTCACCCGTCATTACCATCTTCTTCACCATCATCATACTCATCTTTATCATTATTAATAACATATATATCATTATCATTATCATCTACATCATCATCAGCAATATCATCATCAGCACCATCATACCATTTACCATCATCAACATCGTCTTCATCATCATAATCATCATCATCAACAACATCATTATGAACATCATCATCAGCATCATACCATCATCATCATCATCATAATCATCATCAGCATCATCATTATCATCAACATCATTATCATCATCATCATCATCATCATCATCATCACCATCATCATCATCAACATCATCATCAACATCATCATCATCACCATCACCATCATCATCATCATCAACATCATTATCATAATCATCATCAACATCAACATCATCACCACCACTATCACCATCACCATCACCATCATCATCATCATCATCATCATCATCACCATCATCATCATCATCACCATCATCATCATCATCATCATCACTACCATCATCATCATCATTATCATCATCATACCATTTACCATGATCATCATCATCATCATCATCATCATCATCACCATCATACCATTTACCATCATCAACATCATCATCATCATCAACATCAACATCAACATCAACATCAACATCATCATCATCATCCTCATCATCATCATCATCACCATCATCAGCATCAACATCATCACCACCACCACCACCACCACCACCACCACCACCACCATCACCATCACCATCACCATCATCATCATCATCACCATCATCAACATCAACATCATCAACACCACCATCATCATCATCATCACCATCACCATCATCATCACCATCATCATCACCATCATCCTCTTCACTACTATCATCATCATCATCATCATCATCATCATCACCACCACCACCACCAACATCTCATCTCAATTACTGTAGATCATGTGAGACTCTCCTACCTCGATGATCTGATCACCAACTCTGATATTTCCTGACAAATCTGCGGCACTCCCCTCTGAAATCTTCTTCACAAAGATTCCTGAAGTTTCTTCACCTGTGTGAAAGAACCGAACCAAGTATTGCTCGCACATTATTTTTGTAACAGAGTACAATATGTTTACTTGCATTTATCTATTGATGTTGTATCTTCTATTACTCGAGCTGATGATAAAATTATGTGGATATTATGTTCAAAACGTGCTAGAATTATGTTTAAACAAGGGAAACACTCTCGGCGGTCTCGCCTGCATTACGCAATTCGATATGATGAAAAATTGAGAGTGGGACATTATTTACAGGCAAGATGGCCCATTAGCAGGCCCCCAAAAAATGAAACAAACACTTCTGAAATTATGCTAAAAATTCAAAATCTTGATGTTGATGCCACAAGAAAGTCTAAGTTGACTTGACTTTGTCACCTAAAAGACTAATCACATAATTGGTGATACTTGATAACCCCTGTTCAAATTTCATGAATAAGAACTTATACTATCAAAATTATATTAAAACTTCAAAAACTTAACCTTGGTTAAGTTTTTGATGTTGACGCCGCTGCCACCGGCGGCGTCACCGGAAAAGCAGCGCCTATGTCTTGCTTTTTGCTACGCAGGTCAGACAAAAACCCAAGAACTATTATCTTAAATCATGTTATAATCATATCTAGTCTTACAATAAAAATTGTGACTATATACTATATCTCCAGTTGGATTGACTACATACCATATTGTGCCGATAGTGTCAATTCTTATAGACATGATATTCTCTAGCTTATTGTATCATTCAATGTAAATATTTTTCATTTAAGCGAAATAGATATATATTAGCATGTATGTATTATAGTTACATGTGAACTTCCCTCGTGTTCCACAAATTTCTGACCCAAATTCACCAAACAATGCAATGTTATATCATGGAGATATAAGAAGTTCTTATATCTCCATGGTTATATGGTGCATTAAAGTGACTTGGTATTTTACAGTGCCTCAGATTCTGAAACAAAATCCTGGATTAAGCTTAGGCTGCAATCTCATTTATAAACTTTTAGGTCAGTCAGAAATCCCATGACTTTTACAAGCCGATCGCCTGTCTGATTATCAAGATAATTATGATTGGGAATCAAAATTTCAAACACTAAAGTCTATTTGGGAAAATGAGTATGGTAAAACTGGTCACTCAAAGATTCTTGCAGGTACTTTTTTGAGGCACTTCATGATCTTTTTGAAGCGCAATATTTTTAGGGCTTCTATATGACACCGTATTACAGACAATAATGACACGTAGGGCCATGCATCTCAGATTTAAGATTGTTAAACAATGCCTTTAAAATCAACGGGGTCACATGATACATACCCTCAGGTGTCACATGATACATATCCTCAGGTGTCACATGAAACATACCCTCAGGGGTCACATGATACATACCCTCAGGGGTCACATGATACATACCCCAAGGGTCACATGATACATACCATCAGGTGTCTTCTTGACGAAGCCTGCAATGGAGAGACCAAGTCCTTGGTTTCCTTTGGCGAGCTGAACCTCAAACACCTCACCAAAGTCAATACCAGATGGCATCTAAAAAGGGATGATAAACATGTAGCATATTAAATAGGCTACCAAGATATAAATAAGAAGGAATTGAGGCAGAGATGGCATGATGAAGCCTGCAATGGAGAGACCACGACCTTGGTTTCCTTTGGCCAGCTGAACCTCAAAGCAACATTGCCTCAAAGACCTCACAAGAGTCAATCCAAGATGTAAGCTACATGTCCAATTGTCCATGTAATTAGAGATGAGAATATGAGAGATATCAGAAAGACTTTAGCTACTTCAACTTGAATATAAATCAGGAGACAGAATGAGAGATAGGGAGAAGGGGAGGGGGGAGGGGGGGAGGGGGAGGTTGAAACAGTCACATTTTTAACAGTGACAGACACATACACACAGAAAGAGAGAAAAGAATAAATAAGAGTGCGAGGAGACAAAGAAGAGAAAGAAGCAGGAGAAAGAGAGAGAGTATAACAAATAAGAAAAATATCTATTCTTTTTAACAATGAATTCACTTCAAATCATTTCGCTTTCCCCCAAAAACAACTTTGAAACTAGCATCTAAGCCTCTACCTACCTCTGACATGTTCGGTGGGGGTGAGACGGGAAGGGGATCTGGTTCCAGCTGGCCCTGCCCTAGGAGGTCCAGTCCCTGAGGGGGCAGTCTGGTACCCCCCTCTACCCTTCCCTCCACCTCCAGGTCCATGGGCGGGGCACCACCAGGGGAGGTCTGGATGACCGGCAGCGCCCCTCGAGCCACCACCAGCTGGACGTGGCTGCCGGACTGACGGAGGACAGAGGCTACCTGGTCGCTGTTCATCCCCTCAAGGTCGGTCTCTCCGATCCGCAGGATGATGTCACCACTCTGGAGACGCCCATCCTGTAGGAGAGGATATGGAGAGGATATGGAAAGGCAAAAGAATGATTATTAATTTAAAAAGTTGGTCCAATAGTTGATAGGACTTTAAGATTATACATGTATCAGTGGTGGCTATAGTACAGGATTGCTTTGAAATTACACCAGATTCTTCTTAAACTACACAAAGCGGGACGTCTTCATGTGTAAAAGATCTGCGGATATTTTGAGGTCACTTGTACAAGTTTCAAGTTTTATTTAGCTTTCTTTCATAACACACTTTACAAATATGACATGAATATAACAAGTTAACAGAATATGGCATTGCAATAGAAAGATGAGGTGACCTTGGTTGAAAGCAAGGCTTGTGGATTTAAGGTCCCTCATGACTAGTACCTTATGTACCAAAGTTGTCTATGAGCAGGGGGGTGTTTCACAAAGATCCTTAGAGGTAAACTTATCTCTAAGTTAGACTTAAAAATTAAGGAAAGCCGTTAGCATCTATGAAAATATTTTGTAAAAGTTATTTTAAAAGGCATAAAATGTTGATTCAAATCATTCATATTTTCTATTATCAAGGAAATGACATGTTCTTGATGTGGAATTTATGAAAAGTCTAAAATACTTGCTTTTGAAAATATTTTATTTTAGGGCTACAAAAGGCTCTCCATAATGTTAAAGGCCAGAGTTAAGTTCAGCTTTAATAGGATCTTTGTAAAACGCCCCCTGCATGTACAGTTATAACCATGACAATGTCTTTGATGTTATTGATATTCATATACTCAGTATGAATATAATTTTCAACATTCTCTAGTATGAAAATCATGATGATCACAAGGTAATTAACTCCTATTTTCCTAGTTATTTAACAATCATGTACCACAAATACAATTTTGTGACTTGTATACAATGAGTATCTGTAGCTTTACTCAAACCCTTATATATTCTCCAATTTTGCACATGTACATTTAAGTATAAACATATGTGATGAGTGTTATATTTTGTACAGTTAAATTTTATTTATACATGAAATATGGAAATAATAACAATTTTGTTCTGAATTCATGCATTAAAGATGCCTCTTTCTTCATGCAAGGTAGGATAATGATAAGATGTTTACAATGATTTTAGAACTGAGCAAAATTAAATAGCAAATGATCATTTTCACAGTAAAGGGTGTAACTCTGAAATTTGAACATTTTTATCTCAGTGATCTCATAAAGCAACAGAATTTAAAGATATTTTGGCATATGAGTCACCTATTTGGGTGCTACCTTGGGTAGCATAAACATCTTCAGGGATTACTTCGTTCAATTTTGGCAGGCACATAAGTACCCTAAGTATGACCCTTTTGGTGTACATGAAATACATAGACATTTTTGTAAAGTCCTGTATTTTTTCAGGAACAGTGCTGAGGATTGTTTTTGTTATGCAGAATGTGCTAGCAACATTGATACTAGATAGCATCTCTTCCAGACAGACATGAACACTGCATACACTGAGTTCTCTCATTTCCTTACTGTCATCCACAAGAATACAGAGGTAAGAACTTTATATTTTGTCCTTTATTACTTTACTTGTCCATTGTTTTGATGTGTTATTGTAATGGAATTTATGTTTTTAAGTTTTATTTGTCACTAAAAATATAGTGAGGCCTAGTTAAGATCTGTATTAGTATGTATGTACATTGTATATACAACCTTTATTATACTCAATGCTTGTGGTTTTAGGGTTAGTTGTAATCGTACTAAATGTTTAATTTAGACTCCTGATATGTATGTACATATACAGGTCTATGGCTATGCACAATGGTAAACCAGTAACAATGAATGAAATCACTGTACAAATTACAATTTTGAACAGACAATTCCTGCAAATCCATGGTCAGATTGAAAGTGAAACAGGTCTGTCATTAATAAGTACTTACTGTAAAGATTTTTGCAATGTACACATTAAGCATCCTTAGTGATGGTGCCCATAGACTCTACATGTACATGTACGTACATTTTAAGACTACTGAACTAGTTCTTACACGACATGTGGATAAATTACTTGTTACTTGGTGATAATTTTGTTGAGCCCTCTGAATCAGTCAGAACTCTAGGTGTTGTTCTTGACTCTTCTTTGACCATGTCTCAACAGGTTACTTCACTGTGTAGTCATTACATTTTCATTTGTATAACATATATAGGGTCAGAAGGATGTTAACTGATGAGGCATGCCATCATGCTATTCGCTCTCTTGTTTTAAGCCGTCTTGATAATGCCAATTCTCTTGATTAATATTAATGTTTCGGATATCGATAGACTTCCACGAATCCAGAATCGTGCAGCCCGTATTGTTTCAAATGCAAGAAAATATGATCACGTGTCTCCTTTCTTTAAACAACTACACTGGTTAATACCTGTTCATAAGAGAATAATGTATAAAGTTTCATTATTTTTTTATAAATCCATGTATAACTTTATCCCATCCTATATTTCTAGTCTATTTTGTCCCACCCAGCAATCAAGATATTTATAACGCTCAAGGTCAGATCCTCTTCTTCTGCAAATCCCCCGCATCAATTCGAAGAAGGGTCAACAAAATATAACTTTTTCTGGTCCCACTATTTGGAATAGTCTCCCATTAAGCATTCGTTCCTGCACCTCAGTCGCATCATTTAAGAGAAATCTCAAAACTAATTTGTTTTCTTTGTAATTGTTTTTTGACAAGGCGTTGTGTGAAGGCGTTGTGTGGAGTTGTGTGGGATGTGAACTAGGCTGTGTACTGTATGAACAGGGAATAATTTTCCTGGTATCGCATCGCAATTTGCTATGCATTTTTGCATGACTGCTATACAAAATATCTTTTGTGTAGCAGTTTTCTTCCATAGAAATGTACAGAATTTTATTTGAAATATTTATCCATCGGCTGAAATTGCTAATCAAAAAATTTGAGGAAAATTATTCCCTGATGAACCAGGCTTGATTCATTCATGTTGTGCACAACTTTTTTTAAATTACTTTACCCAGCTTTACACAACAAATTTACAGTGTATGCACTCGGAGAGCAAAATAATTAGTCTGTTTTATTTACTAATGTAAAGCGTTTTGAGCATGTTTATGTAAAGGCACTATATAAATATCAATATGTATAAATAATGAAATATTATGTAATGCACGTGCAAATACACATTCAAGATGTACATCTAAAATCAAACAAAATGATTGTTTTCTAGTGAAATATCAAATTCAATAATAATCATGTTGAACTGTCCTGTACTAAATTATGTATTTTCATACAGGTTTGATAATCACAAGAGAAGAAAACGGTAAAGATGGTGAAGGGACGAACATCATCTCTCATAGTAAGAATGCCATTTCCTGCCAAGACTGTTGACAACCCTGCTCAACCAAGTCGTAAAAAATCAAGATCCACTCTGTGGCGCGAAAAGCTAAAAAGGGAAAATCCAGACATATATGGAGAACTCAAGAAAGTTGACAGACAGAGGAAGAAAAGAGAGTACCACAGAGAACTGTTGGATGAGAGCAGGACCACGAGGTTCAAGAGGAAATTGAAGCAAGAGAAGAAGGCGACTCAACAACGTCAACGGCGAAGGAAGCAAAGACTGGTGAAGCAAAGTGAGACCACAACTAAAGGTTTAAGCACCAGCATAACAACTAATGATGACAAAAACAATAAAATAACTAAAAAGGAAAGACGAAATCAGTATATGAAAGAATATATGTGTAAGAAAAGAGCTTCAATGTCTCGGCATAAAAAACAAGCTGTTAAAGAGAAGGATAAACAGCGCAAAACACTGGCTACAACAAAGCAATCTGGAACAGGCACTTCTTCAAATGGTTCTATGAAAGAAAGAAAGCGCAAGGAATGCCAGCCATGTCTGCCTGACACACCTGAAAGGTTTGCTGATGTCATTGGTTCTGTGCTTGATACTTCCACTCTTAAAAAGATAAAGACATTAGAGGAAGGAGGAATCCCTGCTACAGAAGAGGGGAGGAAGAGATTCAGTCTTATGAATAGGTTTGGAGAAGAAACCACTGAAAAGTTGTCAGAGTCCTGCAAGAAGAAGAAGAAGACAAGTGCATCAAAGAAAGTCCAAAGAAGCCTAGACCAAACAATTGCAAACATTTTCCCCCAAAAGTATGGATATGCCAATGGCAATGCAAAAGGAGGAAAAGAGCACTCCTGGAAGTCTGCCTCTTAATATTTGGCATCAGCACAGATTTGAAATCCACATGCATTCTATTATTGACTTTGCAATGTTACGTATTGTACACAAAGCTCATTTTATATTAAGTAAAGATACTTTGTAACATATATTAACAAGTATTTTTAGAATGTCAACAAATGTTATAGGTGTTATCCTAGTTATATTAGTAATTTAACATATCATTAAAAGTTCAGTTGGATTTTAATTAATCTGTTAATGGACAACATATTATGTTAACATGATTGAAGTCTCTGAAACAGGCATTGTTGTTAACCTGAAGCCTCCGAAACATATGTTTTGAACATTTCAGCTACTATGTTTATCAAATGGAATTGTTCTTAAGTTTGTATCGTAGTGCTATGTTAAGGACAGTCCAACATAGGAAATTGTTCTCTTTGTTTAAGTTAATCGTAATAAAAGTCACAACAATTAGTTGCTTGAGAAATAAGTTGGTTTACTGTGTTTAACAAATTTGTATAAGTTTTAAGTTCATAATTTATCATGCCATTTAGAATGAATTTAGATTTGTATGAGCATCTTACTGAATAGAGGGACTTATACAATGCTAACATGATTGAAGTCTCTGAAACACATAACATTGTTAACTGAAGCCTCCGAAACACACACACACACACACACATAAGAAATTTTAACTTCCTCATTTGAAATGCGATCTAGCTCTTTGGAATTTGCGTTGATAAATTAGCACTCACTGAATGGTATTTGTACTTTGCTCTCCCTCTTGGAATATAGGTAAATTTGAAAATTTAAAAGTTAAAGTCATATTTTGTGTTGAATTTGAAAAACG